TATATAATATATATATATATATATATATATAGGAATCATGTGAGAAAAAAGTAAGAAAAGAATAATTTAAAAATTGTTTAAAACTTACTATTTTAATCAGAGATGTATTTGTTCACAGCAGTCATCGCCTGATTAAGACTGAGAACTGCATCCAACTGAAACGGAAGATGTCATAAATCAAAAGTGGTACTACTCTGAAGTGACCAATAAGGGCCTATGACATTATGCATATATGCATATCTCATTATTACACTGTTGCCCTCTCACTTTCATAGCCAGATACCATATTAAACAACAACTCCTCTGGGAACTCCTAGACACTTAAATCCACATTCATCATTTAAAGAAACGTATTCACCGTGCTGTCTGTGCACCCTGTCCCAAAGGGGCCACAGCCGTAGACTGGGCGACCTTTGATTCCTCGCACACTTGCAAATGTGCCAGTCCATTGTCCACGGCTACGGCCTGTTTTTGCATATTGATTACATTGATCCCTCCACTAAGCACTTACAAAGAGCATCTGAAGAATCAATACAGTGCCTTCTGCTGCTGTCTTGTAACAAAAATAACATCTTGTCGGGGTGCAATGAAATGAATACTCGGAAGGGACGTGGTGTGACAGAACCATGCAAATCCTTTCAAAAAAGCATTATGCCCCTCAAGATCAGCATGTAAAATGTTTTGCTAACTCCAAATGTAACGTTCCCTCCAAACAACACAACTCTTTCAACCTTGGTGTTTTGGACAAAGCGATGCATCAGCAGAGTTGGGATAGAGTTTCACAGCCAGATTATTTATCTGAAAGTCTGCCTTCTTTGTTCTGGTCCCCACGGTGCTGATTTTGCGCTTCAGATGAATGTACACAGATGCAGAAACTTGGGTGCAGAACAATAGCTGTGTAGTGGTTTTTATGTCATTTTGAGTTTACTCTTAGATATTTTTATCGTCTTCAGAGACACTTATATGACGACTTTAGAACAAGAGTTTAGAACAATTGCTGGGGAAAACTGCTTATGATAATTTCTTGAAAATCCTTGAAGTCACAAAAATAGTATCCAAATGTACACTTACAAACCAAATGTGCTGAATTGAATTTATATTGTACAAATCTATAATTAGCATTTGAAGTGAAAAAAACTGCTTATGATAATTTCTTGAAAATCCTTGAACAGTCACAAAAATAGTATCCAAATGTACACTTACAAACCAAATGTGCTGAATTGAATTTATATTGTACAAATCTATAATTAGCATTTGAAGTGAATATTCGGTCCCACTTTATATTAATTGGCCTTAACTACTATGTACTTACATAAAAAATAAGTACAATGTACTTATTGTGTTCATATTGTATTACAAATTTGCTGCTATTGAGGTGGGATACGGGTAAGGTTAAGGGTGGGTTAAGGTGTAAGGGATAGGTCATGTAATTACATGCAGGCATTTTAAAAATGTACACAATAAGTGCATTGTACCAAATGATTAATTTAAATGTAAGTACATAGTAGTTAAGGCCACTTAATATAAAGTGGGACCGAATATTCTTATAAAAGCCTAAAAGCTTGGGTTTTTGTCCCGTTTTTTAAAGTAAAATACATTTCTGAAACTAGATAAATTTACAAATATTGTAAATATAAAGACCTATTTTCATCAGTTATTTCTTATAAGATTTACTTTTCATAGATAAACTACTTCCAAGCCAAAGGGCCACTTGTGTTTGACTACTACAATAAGAAAGTATCAAGAGGGTCATTTAAACGTGTTCAACTGCTTTTGGAGGCTATTAAAATATTTGACTGCTTTGGCATTTTAATGTTGATTTTTACAAACAGGAACATCTGCACTAAGACGCCTTCTGCATTTTACGGCAGCACACTTCTTTTTGAGAGGTAGTTAGAGAGTCATTTATTTTATGGTGTAAATGTAGCACTCAGCCTAAATAAATGTTCGAGCTCACTGAACCTCACACAAAACAGGCACACTTCAGTGGACAAAGACACAGACGGAGGGAGGGAACATCAAGCTCTTCTTTCTTTTCCTGGAGGGGTGTTTGTTCAGAGTGGGTGCAGGGCAGTCTGGAGAGGAGGGGAGGGCAGCAAAGGGAGCCAACTGGGAGAAGTGTGTTTGTACAGAAAACGGTGAAAGATAACCAATAAAAAATGAGTGAGAGTCACAAAAGCTACTCAAACTTGTGCATATGTTTGCGTATTGTGATTGTGTTATGGTGTTAAGTGTTGAGGTGTAAGAAAGAGCGGGAGAGAAAGTGAGTATGACAGAGGGGGGCAAGCAGCTCATTGTAAGCAGCAGTGAGTTAATCTCTTTAGCGGCACACGTCTTATGTAAAGAGGTGTAATGGTCTCTGCCCCAAGGGACCTCAGGGGACACTGGGGTCCCGTCTCCCAGCAACATTTGCATGTCGGTTATTCCAAAAAAAGATATGAAGGGAAGAAAGTGAGTGTGACAGAGGTGGGCAAGCAGCTCATTGTAAGCAGCAGTGAGTTAATCTCTTTAGCGGCACACGTCTTATGTAAAGAGGTGTAATGGTCTCTGCCCCCTCCTTGCCCCAAGGGACCCCAGGGGACACTGGGGTCCCGTATCCCAGCAACATTTGCATGTCGGTTATTCCAAAAAAAGATATGAAGGGAAAAAAAACTGGTGAATGGTGATAAGATCCGCCCCCTTTGCATGGTAGACTTTTGTCTACAGGCAGACTATAGAGTATTCAGTGGTTCACTCAAGGACAAACACATTCTCGCCACGGAGAGCATGCGAAGGAGATTTGATTCAGATTTCACAAACACTGCGTCTGTGGATTTATTTGTTTGGAGAGTAAGTGTCATTTTGTCATCTATTTTATTCCGGTAAGCCTTTGAACTTGATAGTAAAGAAGTGATTTCGGGTTACAGATGGCAGACAGATATTGAGACGCTCCAACTGAGATTGTTTACCTGCATCACATGTTGGGAAGTGATGCCTGTGCATGTGTCAAAGCACAATGCAATGTTTGACTTGAGTCTTGCTGATTGTTTTGTACCTTACAAATGAACAAATAATGCAATAATAATATGCAGTGCATACAGAGATTGCTAAACATTGCTTTTCATGAATGTTCATGTTTGTTATTATTTAGCAATTAGCATACAAAATGAAAAGTGCAAACTCATCACAAAAAATACCCTCCGTGGGTTGACAAAAACAGTTTGCTTGTTCCAGTGATTTATGCGAGTTGTTTTAAATGGATTTCGTTGCATTTTTAATTTATGACAACTATGCATTAGGTGTTGTAACAGAACGTGTGAATTGATAATAATGTCAAGCACTGCGATTCATTTGCAGTGCTGCATAAAAGAAGAGTATTTGCATTACATCATTGCTTGGCATGCCTCGAGGACAAAATATGTGTGACTCTATTAAACAAAGACACTGATGAGATCGCTTTTCATTGGAAGGGACTGTCAAAGGGCTGCCTGAAGCCATTAAGTCCTTCTGCTGAAACAGATGCGTTTATTTATAAAAATGCAAAAGTAGTGTTGAATAATCTTATTTAATCATTTGAAAACCACATGAATGATAATTGAGTTGTTTGTGGAATATCATCCTTCTGGCAATGGTAACGGAGTGCAAACAATTGAATCAGTGTTTACTAATGTATGCTTCTACAATTTTATTTGATTTTGAAACAGCAACTTATGGAGTAGAGAGAGATCAGAAACAAACACAGATGTGGTTGAATTTGTGGTTCTCTTATCTAAAACCAGCTGCGAGGCAGCAAAGTTACAACAAAACAACATAAAAAGAATATTTCTTTGGAATGCATAAATTCATAATGTGACGCTAATAATTAAGAAACAGCTGGCATATTTGCTGTGTTCTTTCTAGCTAATAAGCCTTTAACATATCAGCACATCATCACAATTAGGCCAGTTATACAAAGCCACGTGTGATGATCGTGGCAGGTCTTTTGTTCGTAAAGCCCCTCACTATCTGCTCTGAAAGACAGATGGAAGGCATGATGTGTTGATTATGGATGTGTAATATATGCTTTAGGCACGTATGAATCATAAAAGAAGGTTGAGTAGCTGTTGACAGACCTTTGGTACTCTTGAACTGTTGTCAGGTGACTGACAGGTCCCATCTCCCTAGTGGGACCCCATATTATGTCCAACATATGGAGCCTTATATATCTACACTAATATGTACTGTAAGCTTGTTTTTTTTTTCTAAGTAATGCTTGTTTGATGTAATGAAATATGCAAAAACTTTATGCATGTTTACATGCACCATTATGTTTGAGCTAAAGTCTGTCAAACTATACATGGCAAATCAAATAATTTTAAAGAATTAAATATTTAATATATATTTGAAAGATTAAATAAACAATGCACAAGCCACAACACAGAAGCCAGCTGTAATGGATTGATGTGTGTACATGTTGGATGAAGCAAATCTTCAATCACATTATTTGTCTAACTTCACAAAAATCGGACCGGTACGTTGGACTGAACTAAGGCATTTACATGACATTTTAAAAAGACGTTGTTTTAGTCCGGCAGAAATCAAAATCAAAGTGCATGGAAACATACTCATTGTTTCTGGTAGCCTGACAAGAAGAAAAAAAAAGTAATTGTCAGGTCTTTTGACCTACTGACCAAGTAATATGAATAGATGTTTGACCTGTCACACTAATTTCAAGCTTGCATTTGCCTTTGTTTGTCAAAGAGGAGGGTGTTCTTGGTACTTGTTCAAAGCATGCGTTCAGTATGGTCTCCATATTGTAAATCAGGATATTAAAGGGTAACTGCCATTAGGTCTACCCCATTGTATCCCATGTGGGCAAAGAGCCAACAAGAAATACTGTAGTTCCTGGTTTTGTAGGACTTGTTTGCTGACCTAGTGAACGTTAAGTAAAGTAAACATTAAGAAAATTCTGCATAGACTATACTGCTCTAATGCCTAAAGGAGTCATCTCACTACATTTCTTAAAATCCATGTTTTACCAGGTTTCCCAAATGGGAATAAGAAGGATCTCCACACAAGGCTATGAGTCCATCAGACCTTCCTCCATCATTAAAATTCTGTAATTACACACCTGCCGCCACCAAGACCACCACCTGCTATCTCCAGATGTCCCAGGAAACATGGGTAGTGTCAGCAGTTTGATATCAGGCCATAGCCTCCACAGCAAACACTGCAAAGCCTCTGAAAACAAAGTCAAAAAGGGGCTTCAGTCTAAGAAAACAGGCCGTAGCTTGGATGGCCTTCTGAAGTATGGCTTCTCTCAGGACCATTGCAGCACCAACAGCTCAAAAGTCAGCTATCATTCAGGCAAAAATGACGACTTCTTTTACATCAAGGTCAGCAACAAGCCCCGAACTGCTAACATTAATACAGCTGAAGACAGTCAAGGAAGAACAACTGAGATGGACAATGAGGTGGACAGGAGAGGAGGGCCACCAGAATTAGTTCCGCTGTCTGGAAAACTAGAAAAGGTAACAGAACTAGAGTCAGTCAGAGAATAAACAAAGCGAGGCATGGGCTACAAAAAGTTCATTTTTATTTGCCAAAATAACATATCATCAAGAGTTTAATTTATTCACTGCCTATATTATTGTGTAGTGTTTCAGTCCTATAAAACCCCAATTTAAAGCAGTACAACTTGTAAACAAAGCAAAATGTCTGCTTAGGACTCATGCTCAGTTCAGATTAAAGCAGCCAAAATCAAAAGATGGCCCATCCCCCAGACATTGTTATCACACAAAATCAAACAACAGTCAAGTATAGTTGATGCTAAGTAATCCCCACCAGCCCCTGACACTTTCACTAAGAGCTTAGCGGTGTCTGCTCCATTTAATTAAACCTCCAGATTGACGAGGTAAGAATGCCTTGATCTCTCCAGAGATTCGGTCCAATGGCGTTGTGGCAGTTGCAAGCAGGCAAGCACCTCTTTCCCTGAATAGCCTCATTTATGAAGAATCTAGCTAGGAAAATGAGCCCAGTTTCACTTGGTCAGGAAGTTAATGCTAAACCATGGGGTAAACATGCTACCATCGGTAAGAGGAAATGACTGGGAAAATAGGAGAGGAATAAGAAATAAGGAAAGGGTTGTCTTGAGATTGTCTTGTGGATCAATCATTTATGCAAAATGTTTTGTTGTAATGTCCTGGCAGTTATGAGAGTAATTACTTTGAGAGCATCTGATCAATAGGTTTTAAGATGGAGAGTGTCCTGCCATAAAGTGAATGATCAATTGGTTGCAGTGCACTTCAAATCCCAAAAACACTGATCTATCTTTTTCTGTCTTTATGGCTTCTCTCAGGACCATTGCAGCACCAACAACAGCTCAAAAGTCAGCTATCATTCAGGCAAAAATGATGACTTCTTTTACATCAAGGTCAGCAACAAGCCCCGAACTGCTAACATTAATACAGCTGAAGACAGTCAAGGAAGAACAACTGAGATGGACAATGAGGTGGACAGGAGAGGAGGGCCACCAGAATTAGTTCCGCTGTCTGGAAAACTAGAAAAGGTAACAGAACTAGAGTCAGTCAGAGAATAAACAAAGCGAGGCATGGGCTACAAAAAGTTCATTTTTATTTGCCAAAATAACATATCATCAAGAGTTTAATTTATTCACTGCCTATATTATTGTGTAGTGTTTCAGTCCTATAAAACCCCAATTTAAAGCAGTACAACTTGTAAACAAAGCAAAATGTCTGCTTAGGACTCATGCTCAGTTCAGATTAAAGCAGCCAAAATCAAAAGATGGCCCATCCCCCAGACATTGTTATCACACAAAATCAAACAACAGTCAAGTATAGTTGATGCTAAGTAATCCCCACCAGCCCCTGACACTTTCACTAAGAGCTTAGCGGTGTCTGCTCCATTTAATTAAACCTCCAGATTGACGAGGTAAGAATGCCTTGATCTCTCCAGAGATTCGGTCCAATGGCGTTGTGGCAGTTGCAAGCAGGCAAGCACCTCTTTCCCTGAATAGCCTCATTTATGAAGAATCTAGCTAGGAAAATGAGCCCAGTTTCACTTGGTCAGGAAGTTAATGCTAAACCATGGGGTAACCATGCTACCACGAGTAAGAGGAAGTGACGGAATAAGGGAGAGGAAAAAGAAAAAAAGGAAAGGATTCTTGAGATTGTCTTGTGGATTAATCATTTCTGAAAATTTTTTTGTTGTAATGCCCTGGCAGTTATGCGAGTAATTACTTTGAGAGCATCTGATCGATAGGTTTTAAGATGGATTTGTGTCCTGCCATAAACATGAGTGAATGATCAATTGGTTGTACTGCACTTCAAATCCCAAAAATACTCATCTATCTTTTGTGTCCTCTCTCTTTTAGAGTAAAGAGAATGCTTTAATTCGACCCACCGCCTTCAAACCCGTTCTTCCTCGAAGCAGCAGTTCCTCGGTGGAGACTCATAACAACTTGAGCACTATCCTGGGCAAGAGAATTAGTCCTATAGACAGGCTAAAAGATCTTCAGGACCCCAAGCTGGAGACAAATTCTGGTACCTTCTCTGACTCTGGAAGGAACTCTATGTCCAGCCTGCCCACTCACAGCACCAGTGGCAGCAGCCAGATGGACAACCTAAGCACATCAAATAACCACATGGCACGCCATGGAGGCCTTGCCCAAAACATGGACACATCTCAGAACCCACAGGGGGGTGTAGCAGGGACAAATGGAAACTCTGGATCCAGTTGGATGTGTAGTGGGACTAACGGTGGAAACGGGTGGGCCAATGGATTTTGTGAAACAAACAGAAACAGTGAGTCGACGAATGGCAGTACGAGATCTATTGGTGTCCTAAGCGAAAGTGTGGCGGCAGCAATAAGTATGAACAGAGAAATAACTGCTGCAGTGCTGACCGTTTCATCCACCGAGCCAAAGATGGATTTCTCTGGAAACCAAGAACTGCTTCTGGAACATAGATTTACAATTTCAGAGCAAAGCCCGACAAAACCATCATCTTCTGGGGGCTGTGTCCGATCACCAATTTCGATGGATGAATCACTGATACAGCAGCTGGAGCAGAAACTTCTAGAACGTGAAACCGAGCTGGTGGAGTTACAAACGAGCCTTGATGAGAAGGAGTCAGACACATGTCATCTATTTGAGGAGAAGCAACGGTACTGTGCTGAGGAGATGGAGGGGTTGAAACAACGCTGTTCTACAAAACTCCGTCAAGTAAGTTGCTTACAATATTCACAGGTTTGAAGGGAATGTGAATATATAAAGTTTAGTGTGACTCCAAAACCAATGAGTACTTTATCTTACATTGATGGTCAACTAAGTACACTATTCACCTTTATCCAGGCAGATCTTAATGATGGTTTGTGTAACCTGCAGGTGTCTCAGAGGGCTTTGAGAGCCCAACAGTTATTGCAGCTTCAGGTGATACAACTTCAACAGGACAAGGAACGTCTGCAGGAGGAGGTGGACCAGCTTAATCGTGACCGGGACACTGCAGAAAGCCGCCTCCGAATCTATGAGAGCCAGAAAAACCTAGTACCCACTCTAGAAGAGACTCAGTGGGAGGTCAGTCTATAAACCTTTATCGTTGTGTAATGACAAATGTGGATACAATGAAAATCTAATGCGCTCTGTGTTTGATAAATAGGTCAATTTAAAAGCTGAACAGTTGGGATAATAAGGGGAAAAGATCAAAATTGTTACAAAAACACATTCACATCCATCATTTTTTGTTATATTTGTAGGTGTGCCAGAAGTCAGGTGAGATTTCTCTGCTAAAGCAGCAACTTAGGGACTCCCAGGCCGATGTTGGAAACAAACTCAGTGAGATTGTCAGTCTCAAATCCTCTCTGAAGGAGTCCAGATGCAAGCTGGAAGAACTGGAAAAGAAGATCAAGGAGTATGAGGGAGCACTTCACCAGCGGAGCGCTGAGGTTGAGGTCAGTGTTAGCTGATATTAGATTAACTTACAGTTGTTACTACATGCTGTACCATCACATTTGCCTGACTATGATATCTCTTTTTAAAAAAGGTATCTAAAAATGAGTTTCAAAGAAAGAAGAATGAAGCTGACCTCCTCAGGGAGAAGGTGAACATGCTGGAAACGGACATCAAGGGCATGAAGCAGGACTTAGCAATGGCCAAAGAGGAGCAACAACAGCTAATGACCATGAGAGCCAAAGTTGAGGAGCAACAGCTGCAACTGCAGATAAGCCAAGCCCGGATGGAGGCCTTTGGGACTGGTCAAGCCAAATCGAAAGCCCAGGATGGAACAAGTGCCAGTAAAACACTGAATCATAATGGAGGGACTGCAGACTTGGATGCCCTACAGAAGGAGGTAGAGAGGCTGAGAGGGGAACTGAAGGAAGAGAAGCAAAAGAAACATAAGATGATGAATAGCTTCCAGCAGGAGAGACAAACGTGGAATAAAGAGAAAGACAAAGTAATCAGATACCAAAAGCAGTTGCAGTACAATTACCTACAGATGTACAGAAAGAACAAGGACCTGGAGAAGATTCTGAGGGAGCTAACGGCTGAGATGGACAGTCGGACAGAGATGGACATGGACAGCCATAGCTCTGACCTGAACTTTGAAAAAATTGTAGCCACAGAGATATGAGGTCATAGGATGAATGTTTTCACAATTAACCGAATGGTCTTAAAAGGGTGAATCTACTAGTGGGTGGAATTTACAAAGCAAAATTTAAAGGGAAGAAACATGATGTCACAGGAGATTTTAAGATGTCATGAGATGCTCGAAACTCAAGAGTATAGCATCACTTGTACATACCACCAAAAGCTTTTCTCCTTTTAGATCTACCACTTAACTTAAAATCTTAGGATGTCATCCATGTGCATTTCTGAATAAGTTCCTATTAAATGTGCAGTAAGCTATTTTGTTTATTAGAATTACACTCTTACTTAAGATATCTCACTGAATTAGTGTTCCATCAGTAACCATCACATCTGTCTCTGTGGCAGCCGTAAATTCTGTAAACTCCAAATAATTGACCACGGTCAGATTCTTTGTTTAGCCATTTAAGCATTTTCTGCCTGTCAGTCATTTTGTGCATTCATAGGGCAGCCAGTAAATAGGAAGCAGGTGTCTTAAAAATGCGTGGCAGTTGAGACTTGAATAATTTAACTTAAACTATTAACCATATTAAGTTTCATAAGCAGTTGACAGTTGTTGGTTCGTCATGCAAGGATACTATTTTGTTAGCATTTAGCTTTGCAACAATGAGATGTGCTACTGTTTTCCTGCTAATCTCTGAATACAATGGTAAGGGTTATAGAATGTGTGTGCAAGTCTAATTGAGAGATTCTTTTTGCAGAAGTTTCAGAATGGCTAACATTGCTTACAGCACCTTTAATCTGTGCACATCCAACCAAATGCTTACCTCCCTCTAATCCAAACAATCCAGCTCTTCTTGCCTAAACCTCAAGCAGTTGTACATTCTCACTACAGGGTGACAAAGTGATATGAATATTTTATTTGCTGTAATTGCTAGTTTTGCACTCTCTCTTCCTTTTTATATGACAAGAATCTTTATCACCAGTGTCTTGGCAGACAGGCTCATAGAAACAATCTGTGTACAGGAATATAGTAGCTCATACAGTGAGATTATGTCATGTTGAATGCAAATGCTCTGTTCACAAATGTCCAGACACATATTTCATTGTTAATCTAAAGTATTTCACAATTCCTTCGCATCTTTTTAACAGTACTATACTATCAACTTTGAAGCCTAGACATTGTACAGTTTTTGTTAGAAATTTTAAAGTACAGTCAAGTCACTTTCACTCGCAGACACATGTGTGGGACAAAAAGGGTTAATAAAAAAAAACACACACACACACATTTGTACTACAGGAATATATCATTTTGAAATGAAACTCACTCTTTTGAACCAAAATATTATTTTAACTCTATTTTATCTTTTCTTCTAAAAAAATTTATATCCTAACTTTTGTTTTCCATTCAAGAAAAGTGGATGTTTTTCACTGCCAAACCACAAAAGTTGTTCACTCATATAGGCTATTCCTTGTGTGAAAACTCTCAAATCTCAGTTGTGTTTTGTTTGTGGCAGGATTGTTCATGTGACATGAGAGCCAATGCTGTTGGGCTTCATGAAGACTAACATTCCTCTAAGGATGACATTTTCTTCTAATTGAAAATAAGAATGATTGAGATTTGAGAGATTTGTAAGGGAAGATTATCATTGAATAAAAGCTTAAATTTTGGTCTATTCTACAAGCAAAACAACTGTATGACTTGTAAAGACCTTGAACATAGCTCATGTGGACTACTTTTACGTTTTTGGGGAAAATAATACTTGGTTAGAACCATAAGAGTGAGTACATGATGACAAAATGCTCATTTTTGGACCAGTTCTGGAATTGACTGAAGGAATTGCCATCCTGGGGAAAAAGATAGGTCTTAAAACTGACTGAACAACCATTTTACTCTCCAGTATGAGTACTGAATTTTAATTAGTTATCACTTCAAAATGCTATCTATAAAAAGATTTATCTAGCTAGAAGAAGCCTGATGGTACAACTGTATGTTATACAGAGATGAAACAATTTTTTTTTTTTTTACAGCTGTAGAAAAACAAGATGGTGATAACAGAGTAGTGCGTTCTCCTTTAGCACTTAGATGTAATACAATACTAAACGTAACCATTCACAGGACAACTTTTCCTTTTTTAAGATTAAGGTGGGCAGCACTGAGACTGTTTCCGTTTTTCATTGCACAAATGTGTTACCCAATGTTTCATCATACAAAAGCCCCCAAAAAGCTGCCTTGTAAGTTATCATCCCTAGAGCTTCCAGGAGTTTTGATTTGATAACAACAAACTGATAATCATATTATTGATGGTGCAGGGTGGTTGTGGGGATGTAAGGCTGTCTCTAGATGCATTTGAATGCATGTATGCTGTATATTTCTTATTTATTTTAAGTAAATAAATTAAGATTTTTTTCTGAATGCTGTTTCAGTTGGTTTTCAGTTAGTTATTTTATAGTTCAAGTGACATATGGCACAATACCTAAACAATATTCAAAATCAAAGTTGATAAAGGCAATGCAACTGCTAGAGCCAGTGATGACATCAATCTGCAACACAGGTGCGTAAGTCAGACAAGACAAATAACCTGTTGTATTTTTTTTTTTTTTTTCATTTAATCCTATTCTTAGCATTCCTGTGCTACCAGACAGAATAAAGGGACATGTAACTGTGTTGTATTATCTCATAAAGCAGCTAAATGTAGTAGCAATTTCTAGCAATCTTCAATGCTAGTCATCATCAACGGCACACAAAATTAGTATAAAATAAATTGTACAACTATAAGACAATTATAAGTTATATTGAATTAGTTGATGATAATGAGAATTTTGTCTAATGCCTACAAGCTTGTCCTTTCATTAAATAGCTAAAGCAGTGTATAAAGATGTAATTAATATTGTGGTGTCGCCCTCTTGTGGCAAACTTCTATTATTACACAAGCCTAGTGTACGAATCTTATTGTGTAAAAACATATTTTTTGCTCCATCTCCTCCAAAGTGCTGTTCAGCATTGTCCTCTGTCTGATTCATGGCAAGAGACATGATGAAAGCACTAGATTTGTAAACGCAGCTACAATTCTGCCCATTGCCATATGTGTTAGTAAACCTCTTTGAATACAACCAATGGCCAAAATCAAAGAAAGAAATTCCAAGATGAGCCAAAATCCTTTTTAATCTCATTCTCTGACTTAAGTATTTATCTGCATGAGTACATGATATATGAAATAAACACGCTTAGCTTCTCTGAAGCGATTGCTTACCGTTGATTTGGAGGCGTTTCCACTTTCTCCTTCCTCCGCGTGGATGTCATGTTTACTGTCCTCTCTTCAGCTGGAAGCGGAATCCAAACCTGCCGCCAAATCAAAGGCAGGAAGCTTTTATGCAAATATTGAGAGTCTATATCCTTTATTAAGCCAGGGAGCTACATCCACTTCTGTAAATTGTCAAAATATAAGTAGCCTACTATCATGACTTTTATGAATTATCTGTCCTGTAACCGTAATAAAAATTATTTTAAAATGTATTGTTGTTGTTGTAGATATTTGCGTCATTTTGTTATTATTATTATTATTATTATTATTATTATTATTATTATTATTATTACTACTACTACTACTACTACTATTAGTATTATAAGTCTTTGCTTAAATTTACTCACAAGGTTGTGTGGCCTATATTAGTGTATTTTAAGTGGTCGTTAGTTTAAGATTTGTATTTCTAGTATTCTGTATTTCTAGGGCTAGTGTAGTTTCATAAAGTGCGCATTTTAAGCAACATGTTTATCAATGTTAAAAGTGTTTTGAAAAATATCTTAGTCTTATTATTATTTGAAAACGTAATTATTTTCATTTAGGTGTTTCTTCCAGTTCTAACTCTTCCACTAGATGGAGCACTCACATTCTCTCATTGTGAAAACTCTGAGAAATCTCTCTCTCTCTCTCTCTCTCTCTCTCTCTCTCTCTCTACTCTGCCATTTTAGGCAACTGACAGAACAAACCTTTCAGAAGTATGTCATAAGTAATCGTATAAGTGTGGTTTTGACAAATATACAAGCAATGATTGCATAAATACTTAATGAATTCCAACAACAGCATCTCGTTGTTGCCCTCTAGCGGAAGAGAGAATAGAAACGAAGCAGGATCCCATACAGTATCAGACATACAGTATCAATGACAATACACTATATTAAAGTATTTAAGACCCCTGTAATTGAAGACCCCTGATTTAAAACACACGCACATTCAATTTTAAATGTCCAATTTCAACAAACATTTGGAAAAGTCCTTGTTTGCATAGGTTATATTTTTATGCATAGAAATTCACTATATTATAAATATATGGTGTAAAGTAGTGGTCTTTTTACACACAGAGAGAACAGCTCTGTTCAGAGCTACAGTGCACTATATATTTAAAGCAGTACTGTGGCTCATACAAGTCCTCCTCTGTACACTAGGCTACCATGTGGTTAAGCGTGCTAGAGAGGTTGGGTAATCCTGTAGTGATCGGTGATGGGGTCACATGTTGAGGTGTGTGCGTGTTAATGTGTGTGTGCGTGTGTGTGTGTGTTTATGTGTGTGTGCTGCGAGAGATTAGCCATGGCTGGCACTAATTAAATACTTAAGACTCAGCCATAAGCAGTGAACATGCTGACTAAAACCTCAGCAACACTTTGAGACTCCATGAAGAAAACAGCAACACAATAGCTATGAAATCATATCCCATTCAAATATTAACATTGGTTTATTTGTATATTACGCAAATTCATGTGGGTGGGAGAAAAAGAGAACAAGTATTTGCATGTATTTCGAATTAAGCATTTTATTGTACATAAAGTTATACTTTTACATTTCAATATATAGTCTAAATATTAAACCTCTCCAAATAACAAACAAGCATTATAATTATCATCATTATCATTATTATTAAAAACAAAAAACAATCCAAGCAGCAAACAAGGCATTGACAGGGAAGAATACTACAAGTACACACACACACACACACACGTGTGTGTGTGTGTGTGTGTGTGTGTGTGTGTGTCTACATACACATATATACGTATATACACTAACTGGTTAATTAAACCCTTTAAAAAAAGTTTAAAAGATTAAAAAAAGATTTAAAATCCTTTTTTTAGCTACTTTAAGGATTTAAATAAACATCTGACATTTTTAAATGCCACAAAACAACTGTAGCAACTTGGAAATCTACATTTTTCTGAATAAATCTCTTTGTTTTGCATAAAAACACCTAAACAATTTGATATTCCAGAGCATGTCTTACATTCTTCATAATTAACCGTAAGCTCTGTCCCAAAAGCACTCAACAATAATTTAATTAGAAGAGATGTTCTTAAAATTCAAAAATTCAAAAAAACTACACAACCTTTAATTATTACTAACTTATTACTTATCCAAACATTACTTATCTATTTTTATTCTTTAAAATTCACGACATCAATAAATATTTCAATAAATATAATTTAAGATTTTTTTTTAAGTTGCTCTTTTCCATAGACTGAAGGTGAATGGCAACCAAAACAAATCTTTTAGTGAATTACAATTTACATTCAGTCTTTTCTGTCTTTTGACTTCAGAAGACCTGGAATATTGTGTTAAAATTGCTAATATGTTACTTTTATAATGTTTTTTATGATGCTTTTAGTTGGTGGTTCTGGCCCTGGTCCCCATCTACTTTCATTGTATGGCACATCAATAAATATTTCAATAAATATAATTTAAGATTTTTTTTTTAAGTTGCTCTTTTCCATAGACTGAAGGTGAATGGCAACCTGGTCCCCATCTACTTTCATTGTATGGAAAAGAGCAGCACAAAGACTCTGCTAAATATCTCATTTACTATTCCAGGGTGGAAAGAAAGCCTTATGTTTGGACTGACATGAAGGCGAGTAAATGGTGACAGCATATTCATCTTGGGGTGAACCTTTGAGATAAAACATCGACGACATCGACACTAGCTGCACACAGAACTGTACCAACCGTATGCAACCAGCGAGGATTAATGTCTTAACTTCATAATGTTGGTACCATATGTTTTTGTTCCGCTCTAATTACATTTGTCCACTGCAGGCCCTTAAGTGTGTGAATTAGATAGAATGAGTGCTATGAGTGGGGCAGACAAATCAGGCACATAAATTCACACAGCAAAGCACCGCTTACCCACAATCCTATTATGACATATAAATCTCCAGAAGATCTGGCTAGTTGTAGAGAGCCACTTGGCAATGTGCAGTGGCTTTTTACCACCTCTCATACATGTCAAATTAGGCCATACGGCCAGATAAATCTGTATTGATCTAAGATGGCCC